AGTATCTAAGGAGGCAGAACAGAAATGAATTAGGAAATGAAATGTTCTTTAAAATTTATTTATTTTTATTCTTCGTTTTTTGGTTTATTTACTTTTATTTTATGTGTATGAGTGTTTCACTTGCCTGTCTGTATGGGCACCTATGTCGTGCAATGTCATTCAGATGCCCTGGAACTGAAATGATCCACCATGTGGGTTCTGGGAACCAAACCCAGGTCCTCTGCAAGAGCAGCCAGTGCTCTTAACTGCTGGGCCATCTTTCCAGAAATGCTTTTTAAAAATCTTCCTTGCAGAGTGTTGTAGCATAAGCCTGTAATTCCAGTACTTGGGCAGTAGAGGCAGGAGGATCAGGAATTCAAGGTCATCTTTTACTACATAGCAAGCTTGAGGCCAGCCTTGGCTACATGAAACCCTGTCTCAAAAAACTAATCTTCCGCGGCTGGAAAGATGACTCAGAAGTTAAGAGCACTGGCTGCTCTTGCAGGGGACCAGGAATAAGTTTCCAGCACCCACACGGTGACTCACAACCAATTCCAGGGGATAGAGTGCCCTCTTCTGGTGTCTGCAGGTACTGTACACATGCAGTGCAGTTACTTACAAAGTACTCATAAAAAATAAAAAATAAAGATAAAAATAAATATAAAATATTCTAAAAACAGAATCTTCCTTGATTACCTAAAGAACCTGCCTTTTAGCATATCTGTAGCACAGATGGCATGTTAAACTAAATACTTGCAAAGATGGGTGGTAAGCAGATTAAAAAGTCCCAGGTACTAGCTACACTCATCCCATGGCCACAGATGAACCCAGAAAGTCCCTCACCATGTCTGATCTTGAACTCAAGAGCCCATGTAAGAGAATCCAAGATGTCTGAAGAAGAGGAAAAGCAGGGTACTTGGAAGACTGGTTCTGGCCGTGGTTCTGCCCCATCTCATAAGACTATCCTTGATTAGAAACTACCCTCACCAAGTTTTATCTCCTCCCCTTGAGGCTGGGGAAGGTGCCACTGTCCTCTGGGAGATCTATGAGGAGCTCATGAGGTCACAGATATACAAAGGAAATGACTTGGTTATACTGGCCACTCTTCCAGCATTGGCTCACTCAGTTCTCACCACAACTATGGTTATAGTTAAGGAAACCAGACAACTTGTTGCCAGCAATCACAAGCTAATGTACAGCCAAACCAGGTCAGGGTCTGCAGCCCACATGCTAGTTTTACCCCTTTCATGCCAAGGCAGAAACTAGCACGGCTCCCAGCATATGTGGGTAATCAGTATGGTGATTCAGTAGGTTGGTCTCACCTAATCATATAGGACTATGATGAGAAGTTGATAGTAAGAACACAGGAAAGCTCTATGAAAACCATGAAGTACAGGGAACATCCAAAACATTTAAAACCAACAGCTGTACTGAGGTGTAATTCATATATAAAATTTACCTATCTAAAGTATACAATCTAGGCTTTTCCTCTTACAATATTTTTTATTTTATTTATTGTGTGTGTGTGTGTCTCTCTCTGTGTGTGTGTGTGTGTGTGTGTGTGTGGTGCACATGTGCACTGTGTAGAGGTTACAAGACAATTTGCAGGAGTCGAGTCTCTCCTTCCACCATGGGATCTAGGGACTAAGCTCAGGTCATCAGGTTTACCCACTGAACCATCTCTCTGAGCCTTACAATTTTTTTAACAGAGTTGTATAACCATCTCTATAATTTTTAAGATTTTCCAAAAAGAAGCCCAAAGCCATAATTCTTTTATCTCCACCTCTCCAGGCCTCTGGCTAACACTAATCTACTTGCCATATCTATGGATTTGCTTATTCTGGACCTTTCATGCAAATGCAATCACGAAATGTGTGGTACTCTGTGACTATTCTCAGGATGCATCCATGTTGAAGCATGCATCTTCATCCCTTTGTGTGGAAATTCCATTCTGTTCCTATTGCTGTTGAATGTATATACTTGCTTCACAGACTATGAGATCTGCGAAGAACTTGATAGAGAGGTATAAGGCTTGAGACTGGGCTTTGCCCCCAACTATCAGGGTGATAGATTGGTCAGGCTACTGAACCAATCTTGGGCACTATGGCAGGTGTTTGGGTTCCATTTCTATCAAATTTCATTGCGCCCAAGACAGGTTAATTAGCCTGGTCAAAGTCACCCTTACAGTTGGGGGCTGAGCCCAAGCTTAAGCCTTATGCTTCTTACCTTGACCCCATTAACTCCACAGAATATGCTAGAAACACAATTCAAAGAGCACAGTTTGCTGACAGTGGCCTAGCAGAATCATCTCCACCAACATTAGCCTAGCATTATTCATTCAACAGATTGGGCACTGTGGGTAGAGCACTGTGTAAAGTGCTGGGGACCCAAGAGGACAGAGGACAGACAAAATTCTTTCCCTTCTCTCCTTTCTGCTCTTTACATGGAGAAATAAATTGATAAACCATTAGGTAATAAAATAATTGTATACTTAGTGTATGAAAGAAGTGAACATGTGAGAAAGAGAAGGCATGGGCACAAGAGAGACACAGGCAGGGATCAGGGAATGGGGGGAGGACCCACTGTCAGAGTGTCACATGCATTGGGCAGTCCTCTGAGGAGAAGCTGTTTAGGCTGAGGCTTGAAGGAGGAGAACCAACGTTATAAACATCTGGGTGAAGAAGGTGCCAGATAAAAGGCATAGCATATGCAAGGATCCCTGGGCAAGAAAGAGCTTGGTGAGGGCTGAAAGTGCTTGCCATGTCAGTAAAGTGCTTTCCATGTAAGCATGAGGACACGAGTTCAGTTCCCAGAAGCCAAGTAGGAAAAAAAAAAAAAACAAAAAACTGGGTGTGACAGTGTGTGCTTGTGATCCCAGTGCTAGGGAAGCAGAGGCGGATGGATATCTAGGCTCCCTGGCCAGCCAGCCTACCCTAATGTGCAAGTTCCAGGCCAAGTGAGAAACCATGTCTCAAAAAACAAAGTAAGGGTTAGAGAGATGGCTCAGCAAGAGCACTTGCTGCTCTTGCTGAGGATTCAGGTGTAGTTCCCAGCATCCATATCACTACCACATGTAACTGTAGTTTCAGGGGTTCCAACGCAGGGCCTTCCACAAGCCCCTGCATGCACATGGTACATATGCAGGCAAGCAAGAACACACACACACATAAAAGTTAATAAGAACTACACAAAAACACCCAAAGTTGTCTCTTGTCTCCACACTCACACACACACACACACACACACACACACACACACACACACACACACATGAGATTTGTGCGCTGAAAAAGTTAGAACAAAGTTGAGAAGGCGGGTGACATGTTCTGATGCTGGATAGAGCTTCTGGAGGCCTTTTAGCCTGTTGTCTTATGACCAAACTCTCAGAAATAACCAAAGCTAGATTAGGGTGTAGATAGCTATATAACAGAACACAATTCAGCTGGCAAAAACAGTGAAGTGAACTCAGTTAGGCCCTGGCAGTTGCTAAGGAAGAAAGGGGGGGATGCAGAACTGCGTGAGTAGCCTGTTATCACTGTTGTAGAAGGGGGCCCTATGGCAATACTTGCATTTGCTAGCTCTAGGAGGGTAAACACATGTCATCTCTAGGATGGGCTTCCTGTGTGATTCCATCTCCCAGGACAAAGCTTATGCACAGGAGGAAGAGCCAGAATCTCAGCTGCTGGTGCTGTGTCTCCTTCACTGTATTGTGGGGTGCGGGTGGGGGTGAGGTGTTCCTCAGTGTCTGCTCTACTAGTGTTTCCAAGTTTGAAACCTGTAAGTGGCTTGATCTCATTACCACTAGAAGTGAAATCAAAACCCCACCTCTTAGCCATGATTCCACCCTGGCCCCACCTGGGCCCTGGCTGCCACTAATCTCCTTGCTGTGCTAATGGATTTGCTTATTCTGGACCTTTCATTCCTAGTCATAGTGACAGTTGTGACAGTCTGATGACTAAAAAAAATTGCCCAGAGGAATCCAGAATTCATTCTAACTCCCAAGGATGAACCATCAAAGCACCTCCCTTTAAAGGTGAATGACCAAAGTAACAATTATCAGTTGGGTATTGGTATCTGATTTTGTATCCAGGGCTAATGGAGGCACCTTGGCGGTATCAACTAGAGGACACAGAAATGTGTGGCTTATTTGACTCCAAGCCCTTTCCTTTAATCTTGGGGGTTCTTCAGCCTGGGCCCCAGGACCCTTAGGGCTGCCCTCTGCATTGAGGGGGTGTTCTACAGCATACCTGACCTCTGCCCACTAGTTCCAGTGATCTATCCCCTCCAGTTGTGACAGCCTCTAGAAATTACAGATGTCCCTTGTGGAAGAAAATGGTCCCCAGGTGAGAACCACTGTTTTCGTCCCTGCATTTCCAGATAAATGAGTGACTGCATCCCCCTCCTGAGCTCATCCCTTTTTCTGGGACCCCTTTGGGATAACCTGGAGGTTGGGAAGTTCATTGAACTTCACTATGGGTGAGTTTCCTGCATCTCATAGGTGCCAGCCAGTTTTGACTCCCTGGGACCCTCTCTGGAAAAAGAACAATCTCTGATTTTAAAATACTAGTGGTCTGCTGGCAAGCTTTTCCCTGCCTTGAAAGTGCAGGGCACACAAATGGCCCCAACGAGCAGCGTGACAGTGAAAGAAGCTGCCACGGCCAGATCTACAGCACCCCAGGAGCTCTGGAGTGACAAAGCGAGAGAAACCAGTGCCACTTCCTTCTGTGATTACCGCCCCTCCCCAGATTACAGTGGGAGAGAAGATAAACCCTGGACAGATGTGTACAGGGTGGATAGGTACACAAGCCAACCTTTGTCTCCTCTTGTCAGGAACGTAATTCCCCATTGACAGCTTTCCCTGGAGTCCAAAGGAAAAGGAACTGCTATGTTCTGATACATTGGAGGCTCATCCTTGCAGCACTACAAAACCAATGAGCAGAATTTTCCACTCTTCTGGCTACGGGGTCTATTGGCAAAAGTGTGGCATTTGTTTACTTTTGCTTGTGTTATTTTCATTCCAGTTCAGCTGCAGCTGAGTGCGGAAAGCGTGGGCGAGGTGTATATAAAGGGAACTGAGTCTGGCCAGTACTTGGCCATGGACACGGATGGACTTTTATATGGCTCAGTAAGTACGAAACTGGATGCCTCTCGACTCAGCCAAGGCTTGAGGTTTCCAGAAATCTTGTTACACAGAGTGATGCAAATGAAAAACCATCAATTAGTCTCTGTTTGTTATTTTTTCCACTAGGATTCCCACCCTCTACCTTGCCTTATTTTCGGCACAAACATAAAAGAGCTTCTTGTGGTGTTCTCTCAAAATACTCAGCTGCTATCATACAGACAGAGAGGAAACATTGATTGATATTTTGGTAACTTGTTAGGCACTCATTTCAAAACACCAAATCTTATTTTATTCATTCATTCTAAAAATGTTTCTTGAGTTGACCAACTACCTGTGTATCTCTTAATGTTTTGTGTGTGTATATGTGTACATGTATATGGATACCTGAAGACAACCTTGGGTATCATTCCTGATTCATTTCTTTTTTTTTTTTTGTCTTTTTTTTTCTCTCTCTCTCTCTCTCTCTCTCTCTCTCTCTCTCTCTCTCTCTCTCTCTCTCCCCCACCCCCATCTTTTAAAAAAAGACAGGGTCCCTTACTTGTGTGGACTGTAACTTGTAGGCTAGGCTGGCTGGCTAACAAGCTATAGGGATCTCTGTCTCTGCTTCCCCAGCACTGGGATTACAAGCACACATCACCAGGCCTGGCTTTTTTTTTATTATTATTATTATTTAATGTGGATACGGGAATTGAACTCAGGTTTACAGACTAAGCTTTCTCCCCCAGCTTCTTAATATTTATATATATGGGCTAGAGAGATGGCTCAGCAGCTAAGAGCACTGGCTGCTCTTGCAGAGGATTCAGGTTCAGTTCCCAGCACCCACATAGTGGCTAACAACTATCTGTAACTACAGTTCCAGGGGATCTGACACCCTCTGGCCTCTTCAGGCATTGCACACATATGGTAAACTTGCATACATTCAGGCAAAACACTCATAATGCATAAAATAAAAATAAGCAAATTAATTAAATACATATAAATAAAATTGCAGTTTATATATCATGCATAAAAAAATTTAAATAGCCTCTTTTATGCTGAGAAGATTGACCAAAATGATAAAAATTTTAGTAACTTAATTCAACACTGATCTGTGGCTCCTGCCAGTGTAGATACTGAAAGGCTGTAAGGATGAATGGGAAGTGTGGAGAAATGTCATCTAATTGTTTCTTAGTAACTAAAGCCCTCCACAACACCTCCTTCCTTCTTTCAGTCAGAGCTTGATACAAGCCTGATTGGGTATACCTTGTCTCAGTAGGAAAAAGGCAGGTATAAGGGCTATCTGATTGGCCCTTCATGCTATCTCTGCTAAGAAAAGCAGAAAGAGGCAATCTGATTGGCCCCTTGTAGACTCTCTGCTTTAAGATTTAGCCTGGGTATCTCCTATCTGGCATTGTTGCTTGTTATGTAGCCTTTAGCTATGCATATGGGCTCTTAAATTATATTGGCCCCTTTAATCTTTGGTTATACTTTCCTTTTGGGTGTTTAAGGCCATACAGTTGTCCCAGATAAACCAATTTATTTTCACTCTTAAGATCATTTTAGGATCTGTTCCTCAGGGGTCACATGGGATTGGGAGGAGCCCCTGGCTCCTTTCTTTTATCAGTTCCGCTTATGAGAAGGTAAGTGAAAGGTTCTGCTGGACCATGGTTGGTTTTGCTTGGAAGCATGGAGGAAATGATTCCTCTGTGTTGACCTTCCTCTTTAGAGAATGGACACTGGTTCAAGTCCATCTGGTGGGGTCTCCTCGGCTTCCTTGATCACGAGGACAGGTGACCCACCACCAGTACAGGACATTTTGAGAGATGCTCATAGTCCCCTGGAACTAGTTGACCTAGCAGCAGACCCCAATCTTATCCAAAGGAATATTGACAACTGATTACCTCTAGATGAGGAACAGCTGACCCTCCTACAACAAAGACCTCTAGATAGGCTGACTAGATTCACCAGAAGGGCAAGCAGTGAGGAAGGGCTGGGGATGCTGACAACACAGCAGACAGTAGCAGGGATAGTAGAGTATAAGGGCTCTGGTGGGGGAGGCAGGTATGGGAGAGTGCCATCTGGGAAGTGGGTATATAGTTGAATAAGATGGTTTGGGATGTTCTGTGTGATACACATACATACACACACACACACACACACACACACAAATCAACAAATTTAAAAAAATGGTATTATATTTGAGGAGGAAACATGGAAATTTACATCATGTTAATTAGTAGAGGTGATAAACGTTACCACTGAAATCTACCCGATGACTTTATATCCATACACAGGTGCCAAGGTTCCAAATGCAACTGACCATGACTAG